CACCTAGGCAAAAATAAGGGAATCCCGATGAACCAAAAGGGTTCGGGTAAAAGTTAGGGTATACATAAAAAAAATCTGTACACCCGACAAGTCGAAAACCTGAAAAGACGACTTGGGCAAAAAGGTATCCCGGTGGACTGAAAACCCGAAAGGGCGGTCCAGGCAAAAGTTATGGATTTAAAACGTACGACTATGTACCGTCACCTATATATCAGTGGAAGACTTATACCTTGATCAACATTCATCAAGAGCACCAGAATCGAGATACAGTTCAGATACGCTCCAGATACGGATGCCATTTTGATACTCATTTAGATTCAACTTTCAGATACATTTCAGATACGCTCTAGATACGGATGTCATTCTGATACTCATTCAGATCCAACTTTTAGATACAATTCAGATACGCTCCAGATACGGATGCCATTCTGATACTCATTCAGATTCAGCTTTCAGATACAGTTCAGATACGCTCCAGATACGGATGACATTCTGATACTCGTTCAGATTCAGCTTTCAGATAAAGTTCAGATACGCTCCAGATACGTATGCCATTCTGATACTCATTCAGATTCAGTTTTCAGATACAATTCAGATACGCTCCAGATACAGATGCCATTCTGATACTCATTCAGATTCAGCTTTCAGATACAATTCATATACGCTCCAGATATGGATGGCATTTTGATACTCATTCAGATTCAGCTTTCAGATACAGTTTAGATACGCTCGAGATACGGATGCCATTCTAACACTCATTTAACACATTTTTCCGATACAATTCAGATACGCTCTAGATACGAATGCCATTCTGACACTCATTCAACACATGTTTCAGATACAGTTCAGATACGATCCATATACGGATGCCATTCTGACACTCATTTAACACATGTTTCAAATACAACTCAGATACGATCCATAGAAGGATGTCATTCTGACACTCATTCGACACATGTTTCAAAGTACAGTTCAGATACGATCCAGAGACATATTTCATTCTGACACTCATTCAACACATGTTTCAAGTACAGTTTAGATACGATCCAGAGACCGATGTCATCCTGACAATCATTAAATACATGTTCAAGTACAATCACGACATAGATCCATTCACAAAATCTCTGTATGTACCCCATCCATCATGGTACAAGGGGCAGAGACAGTTAGAAGCGAAGTCACTATCACATACAAGCCAGTGATACCTATATTCCCCACAGAGCCGAGACAATCAAGGTCCGACCTCCGTATCCCCAAGCAGGTTCCTTCAGAAAGCTGATATCTGCATTCCCCAACCGAGTTTTATAACCATGAGCAGTTTATAAAGCCATCTCCCGAGCAGAGTTTATTTCTCTGACAGCAGAAGCTCAATCTCCAACAAAGCTCTTCTCTCCAACAATGGAAGTTCATCCCCAACTAAGTTTATTTCTCCAAATCAACAGATCTTCCAACAAAGTATCTCCTTTCCCCACAGAGTCATCCCTCCGCAGGATTGTTCTCAGACAGAGTCTCTCCCGGCAGAATATTCTCAAGCAGAATGGATGTAAATCTCCAGCTAATCATATTCAGTCACTATCCCCAGCGGAAACGAAGAACTCAACTCCTTATACTCTCCAGCAGCAGTCCAAGATTTATTTTCCCCAGCTAGAGAATATCACAATAGCATTGCATATCCATACATCATGGCATGTGCATACATATTATACAGCACAATCTCATTTATTTTGAGAACATCATTACTCAATACATTTCATACATCATGACATTACATACGACTAACTCCTTACCTTTCAGGGAAAGATGCAATCAAGTTCTCACAAGTTCTCTCTGGTTCAGTCAAACCGACACTAAGGTTTCTATTCCAGTTGAAGATATTCCAACACTTTTCAATATTTTCTCTGGTTCAGTCAAACCGACACTAAGGTTTCTATTCTAGTTGAAGATGTTCTAAGACTTTCGTCTGGGTCAGCCGAATCGCCGCTAAGATTCCCCTGATTTCTATGCCCGTCAAAGTTAATCCGAGACCTCTCCCGGTATCAGTCAAATTGATACTAAGATTTCTCTCCCAGTTGAAGTTCTCACAAGTTCTCTCTGGTTCAGTCAAACCGACACTAAGCTTTCTATTCCAGTTGAAGATGTTCTAAGACTTTCGTCTGGGTCAGCCGAATCGCCTCTAAGATTCCCCTGATTTCTATGCCAGTCAAAGTTAATCTGAGACGTCTCTCGGGATCAGTCAAATCGATACTAAGATTTCTCTCCCAGTTGAAGTTCTCACAAGTTCTCTCTGGTTCAGTCAAACCGACACCAAGGTTTCTATTCCAGTTGAAGATGTTCTAAGACTTTCGTCTGGGTCAGCCGAATCGCCGCTAAGATTTCCCTGATTTGTATACCAGTCAAAGTTAATCCAAGACCTCTCTCGGGTTCAGTCAAATCGATACTAAGATTTCTCAAACTCTTCCTTGGCTTGAGTAAACTCTTTGCAAACTTGCTCAACTTTATTCGTTGAGTCAAAAGCCTTCGACCATTCAGTTTCTTACAGACATTATTTCTCTTGAAGCTTTGACGCCACAACACTTATTATCCATCATGAGGATTTTCTTTTCATCGAAATATTCTCTTAAAAAGAAATGTATGTTTCTCCAAGAAATTTGGAATACACATTTTTTTAGGGAAATTTGTTAACTGAAAATTTCAACTACATGAGTTTTAGTTAAATTAATACATTTTTGATGATGTGATTCGAAGGAAAGAATAAAATAGTCCACGAGAAAACTTTGATAAGTAAAGAGCTCAAACTGAAGCTTTAATTTTGCTAAGTGTTGGCGAAAGATCCGTATGCGGACCATAGAGATATCAAGTTTATTCTAAGTATAAATGAGCATTGCTTCGACCGTCACAATTTAGGGCTTCGAAGATAAAGAGTTTCAAATTCAAAAAGATTAATCTTATCCAAAGAGACGCGTGAAAGTTTGGAATTCGAAGATACATGCAATTGTCGAACATGGCGCCATATTATTTAGAGACCGTTTGGTCGAAATTAATATAAATATGGGGTCTTAATGTTTAGATTAAGTGTGTTTACATCTTTTTTATAAATACTCAAATCACTCAAAGTATCAGCGTTAAGAGAAAATAGTTTGCGAGAATGTACATATGATGCATCATTTTTACATTTATAGTCATTCGATTTTATTTGAAGTTTTATACATTCCATTTAAATTTCAATCAAAATTCTTTTACATTTCAGTCTTATCTTTAAAATATTACGTTACTGTCTGCAAAATAATAATTGAAATAACATTTATCTAAAATAATGAAGATATTGTTGAAAATACTCTTTGTTATAAGAACAAAAACATTAAGTAAGAACACATATACGTAAGATCAATCTGATCGATCTTGCAAGCACTGGCGGGGCCAACCTATTTGAGGGGATTCAATTGAAACCCGTGAACTTTAAATATTACATCTAAATGTTTATATAAATTTCACTTTGAACCAATTTTTATTTGCATCATTTATTTATTTGATTTTGAATTTATTTACTTTTGCACTTTTAGATCCAAATATTTGTCTATATAAATTGCACTTTAAACTCCTAAATTTAATTTAAATTTTTTTATTTACACCATTAGTTTACTTAGTGTCGAATTTATTTATTTTTGCACCCTTTAATCTAAAGTCTTGGCTCCGCCACTGTCTATAAATTACTATTACTACAAAGATTTAAAAAATCAACAATTATTTACTAAATTTCACGATAAACTTAATGAAATAACCACTCTTACTAAATTGAATTTATAACCATTTTTAATGCGCCTTTGGTCCTAAACAAAATATTTTAATAATTTGATCTTAAAAAATACTCCTAAGAACATAAAATGCCTGCCTGCCTGCCTGAACCTTCAAGACACGGCTAGTAAAAGTTAGTGTGTCGGAGTTGTATTTATATATGTGCTATTATTGTTGTTAATATGATATGTTTAATTGTAAGCCTCGTACTATAAACAAATAAGTAATGTTTATCTAGAAATAAAACTAATAATACGTTGATTCATGAAGTAAGTAATTAAGTGTATGTTTAGTTTAATTTTTAGAATGGTCAAAAATAATTTTAGAAGTATGGAATTGATAATTTAATTAAGCAAAAATATTATTGATTCTTTGTAGAATTAATTTTATTTGAAGTTAAAATTTATAATTTATAATTTTAAAATTGATTCTGAATAATTTTTATATTGAAATTTATCGTTTAATTCAATTTTATATAAATATATTCAAATATAAATCAATTATATTAAATTCAATTATAAAAATCAATTATATCAAATTCAATTATGTTAAATTTAATTATAATAAAATCATTATAACAATTTCAATATTATTAAAATTATAAATTTAATTATAATAAAATCAATTATATCAAATTCGATTATATTAAATTCAATTATAATAAAATCATTATAACAAATTCAATATTATTAAAATCAATTTTATTCATCACTAATTGAAATATATCCTAAGAATAATATTATAACCTCATGATTTAGACATAAGCCAAATTGATTTGATGTTAGAAAGTTTGATATTATCCCTCAATTTGCTAGCTGTCAAGGTACCCATACTCAACTATCTTAGTCAATCACTATGATCCCTCTTCTTACAACTTTCACGTCCTATCATTTTATAACTTCCATAATAATTAGTATATTTATTTTTTACTTCTTATCTCTAATTATTACGTTTGTGCGATATTGATCTTATTTTTGTTTATTCTATTTATAATTTAATATTTTTCCTCGCAATTTTCTTTAAAGTTCACACAGTGATAACATTATTTATTAAATTGATAATTATCAATCTCCACTCTATATATACCTCCAAAACTTTGCATGCATTCATCAAATACATCGTTTGGAATCTAGTGTCCTCCTCTTAACACATCTCTCTCCCTCACTTTCTATAGCATTGGTTCCAATACTATTCTAAGTTGTTTTAAAATGAAAATGAAGGGTTCTATTGGGTTTCTTCACCTTGTTGTGACCACTCTTTTTGTGGCTGCATCCGCTGGTAACTTTTACCAAGACTTTGAGATAACATGGGGTGATGGTCGTGCAAAAATCCTTGAAAATGGACAGAGTCTTAGCCTCTCTTTAGACAAAGCTTCTGGCTCTGGATTTCGTTCCAAAAATGAATACATGTTTGCAAAAATTGATATGCAACTCAAACTTGTGCCTGGTAACTCTGCTGGCACCGTCACTACCTATTATGTAAGTTTCTATGTTTTGTAGGCCTAATTGAAAATGTCCATGCATGTGGATATTTACATTTAATAGTTTCACTATATAATAAGGCTGAAAACTAATATTTTACAACACTTGTGATGGTTGCAGCTATCTTCTCAAGGGCCTAGTCATGATGAAATAGACTTTGAATTTCTTGGTAACTTGAGTGGTGATCCTTATACACTTCATACAAATGTATTCACACAAGGAAAAGGAAATAGAGAACAACAATTCCATTTGTGGTTTGACCCCACCAACGACTTCCACACATATTCTATTCTTTGGAATTCTCAAAGCATCATGTATATATATATTATATTACATACTCTTATTCACTTTTCTATTTTCTATATTTTCTGAATTCATATGATAAATTTTTTGTCTCTATATAGATTCTCCGTGGATGGAATACCAATAAGAGAATTCAAGAATTTAGAATCAAAGGGAGTTGATTTTCCAAAGAAGCAGCCTATGAGGATATATGGTAGTCTATGGGATGCTGAGAATTGGGCCACAAGAGGTGGTCTTGTCAAAACTGATTGGGCCCAAGCCCCATTCATTGCCACATATAGAAACTTCAATGCACAAGTTTGTTTTTGGACTTCTTCAGGATCTTCTTGTTCTTCCAACAAATCTCCATCATGGTTAAGAGAATCATTGGACTCAAATGGATTAGCTAAACTTCATTGGGCGGAAAAGAATTATATGATTTATAACTATTGCACCGATACTAAACGTTTTCCACAAGGACCTCCTTCCGAATGTCTTGCTTAAAAACTATTATTCGTTTTATCATATAAAAAAATTTGTACTTAGATCTTCTATGATCACCGCATGATGCATTGATTTTAGATCAGTTAAATCTAAAAAGTCACTGTACCATACAGAAGTTATGGATGATCAAAACACATTAAAACTCGTATATATTTTACGCGTGATATATTTGTAAAAAAAATTTCTTTGTCTTGTGTAAATTTACAATTAAAATAATATTGTTGATTGATGCATACTTGTATATGTATTGTGCATAATTCTATTGTTTGTATGTGAAAATGGCATTCACGTAATTGGTAGCAATAAAATGGTGAAATTTTATATTAATGTTGTTCAAATCTACAATTGTTTGAGTTTCAGTTGATTTTTAACTTTTGCAGTTCGATTTTTCTTTTATTGTTGAAATACTTAAGTAGTAACTTGTTTACCATCAAAGTGTCAAAGGATAAATAATCATACATTTTATTCTCATAGAACAAGTTTCAAAATTAAGTATAAAATTAAAAAAAAATACAAAGACTTTTTTGTTATTTTGAAAAATAGTACTTTATGTAAATTTTGGTTTTAAATTACACTACTCAAGGGCAATTGCGGTTGCAATATAGGTGATGTGGTAGTTTTACAATTCTATCAAATCACAATCGTGATGTGATTTAAGATTACGCATTTGACCCAAACAATTTCACCTTTATATTTTCAAATATTTTTATCAAATCTCAAAATTTTAAAATTTCAAAATTCAATTTACTTCGAATGTAACAAAATATCTTAACGCATCGAGTGTTTTTTAATATTATATTTCAAAAATCTCTCAATCAAAATTTACACTTGTAACGGTCATTATTGCACACAACTATAACCATATTAAATATCTCAACCACAATTTAATGTCAGGATGTAAAGACTCCACTATTCAAATACACTCATTTGACATCTCATGTGTGATTTTTTTAATCTAAATTATTTAATAAGTAAATGGAAGAATTGACATACAAAATCTATGTCACAATTGGAGTCTTGATTTTTAATAACCTTGATTGAAAAATTGACATATAAAATTAATACCGTTTTCACAGATGTTTCTTCAAAATTTTAAAGTAAAAAACAAAACAATACAATGATATTCTTATTGTAATTGAAACTCAAAATCCTAATGCAATAAAGAAAAGTGTTACAAACTTCAACCTTGGACATCAACTAACTGTTGCCAAGCCTCTTAAGCCCCAAAATCGCTTCGACTTAACTGAATATTTGTGTTTGTGTTTGTTCTTTTTGATGGATTCAATTATCTCAGAAATCTCATGGTTTAAACTCATGCAAGATTTTATCCCGCATCTGAAACTTGAAAATTGTTAACAGCATCCTGCAGATGTATGTTCTTCAAAAGATGAAGAAGTCGAGGTCTATTCAACTCATTATCAAGCACTCTTGTCCTTCCTTCTTGTATATTCAGAAGGTTAAAAACATGTTATTAGTCATTAGTAAATAATACATACTCAGACACTAATTCTAAAAGTTCTAGTTTAACACCAAAATCAAGGTTCCAATATAACGGCCCGTTATAGCGAAAACGGCTACAACAAAACGGTATTAAAAGATGTCAATATCAATACCGTTATTCACCGTTTTCATAATTAAAAAAAATTGTGATTAGTTCACGCAACAACGACCGCTATCAGTAACACAACATCTATCTAGACTGAAATCACGAAAGTCTCTACGCGACCACGACATTTATTTAAAATCTTAAAATTAAAGAAAAATAATAAAGTAGTATAATTTTAATACCTCTTATTTCTTTGTCTGGTAAGGAGAACAAGTAATCCAAAGCCTAAAATGATTGCAACTTTTATCACCTGATGAGAGGTGAATTAAAGTGTGAAATATTACTAATGAAAAACCTTAAAACTACAAACAGGATACTAAAATACAACATGGTTCATAAAAAAATAAATGATCAAATTTAGACCAATGTTTCAAAAATAAAAACAGTGATTCTTTTTCAAAAGTGCACCAGTAACAAGATCCAGATGAAAAGTTCATGGTAACCTGATTAAATGGTCCTCCAGAATTTTCATCTCCATTATCATCAACAGAAGTTTTGGTTTTTGATTCTTCTATGTCATGTATTTTTTCATGCTTGCTTCCATCAGTTCCAGTTTCAATACATGCTGCATTCTGTAACAAAAATATAAAATGAAACACAATTTTAACCAAAAGAATCTCTAAAAATACATTTATACCTTCTCCAAGTTTTCTAATTTTCTGATTATTCTTACCTCAGAATTTTCAAAAGGGTAACAGTTGTTATCGAATGTTTCATATGTCGATGTTCTCCTCAAATTTCTGTAATTTTTCTCTTCCTCTTGATCTCTACTGGATGCTGCTGCATTTTTATTGATCTCCTCCTCTTGATCTTCATTTCTTTCTTTTGAATCTATTTGTCTGTTTGGTATAATATGTTCTGGAACCTCTTGCAAGTTTCTTACCAACGAAGCACTTTTCGACTTTTCTTGTAAGAAGCTTATCGGCTCTATGTTCAATGACTTATCTTGCTCGAAGTGCCGAGTCTCGGAAGAATCTTTCTTTTCAAATGGACTCATCACTTGATATTTTGTTGGAGGTGGTTTAATATGAGGCCTCATATCCTGTGTCAAAATTCACTTGTTGAAAAACTTATGCTGTGTTTGGATAAACATTTTAGTCCGATACTTATAGCATAAGCGCTTATCATGTGCTTATGCATAAACTATATCTATATCAGAAGATAAAATAAAGTCAAATTGTTTTCATATAAGCAAGCAATTCTAAGAGCAGTTATAAAATGTCTTAACTAGTTTCTAGAAGTTCTTTCGAACAATCTCATGCGTGCTTATGTCAGAAGATAAACTCAAATAAACCAATACAAACAGGTTTAACTATACCTTAGGCAGACCACTTTCAAAAGCACTTATCATTTTCTTAACATTGCTAGGAGTTCTTCCTAGTTTAGCCTTCTTCTCCGAGTTTCGAAGACAATCATCCTCTAGATTATCTTGTATTGGACTATTTGTTGAGGAATTAACTTTTTCGGAGCTTAACAAAATCACCCTTTCTTCTGAACCTGTAGCTCTCTGAGGATGATCCTCAGATGCTGGCGGATTGGCAGGCTTCTTATCTCTATGCTGTAACTGAATGAGATTAACTTCTTGTGACACGGGTTTTATCGATGAGGTCTTCTTATATTGATCTGCAATGTTCTAAAACATGTAAAATGACCATTAAACAAACAATAGTACTTTTTCCAATGTTTTCGTGTTAGGATGAAAAGAGACATATGAATCACTGACACAGAAACGGACACAATCTGTGAAACTCGAATCTCCTACGGTCATTGATAGACTAAACGGTCATGGATCCCTTGACTATAGGGAATCAAGTTTCAAGACATGACAATAATACGTAGACACCAGCAGTAATTTAAGAAAATAAAAGTGATTAATATTGATAATTTGTCAGGCACAAACATATGTCAGATACCAGACACGCGCATTTAATCCGAAGTGTCAGTGCTGCATAAAAAGAGATTGGGGAAAATTGATTAATCCTTAACTGAGTTTAGCTGTTTCTGTTCAAGCTCAGCCTCAGCCTCAACAACATTTGTAGTGGAACTTTCTTTGTCGTTTGAGAAATCAACTGAACTTTGTAATCGAGGAACTTCTTCTTGTTGAAGGTATTGCTTTGGTGATGATTCTTGAGAAGATGGAGCACTTAAAACATCAGGAAAAAGCCTTTGAGGAAATGTATGTAGGACCAAATTCATAACTATCAAACATTAAGTTATTTTATCATTTCATTTCTGATTTAAATGTCGGTTTTTTCTATAATAAGATAAGTAAGATCAAACCTGAGACCTCATCACTAGTGGGGAAAGGTAACGCGGCATTGCTATTAAGAAGCTCATCTTGTTTTTTCTTTAACGCAGATTGTCTCTAATAAATCACAGAAGAAAAGTTAGTTTAAACATAAAGTTACCAAGGCCTTCAATTTGCAATGTTTAAGAAACTTGAGAAATAAGTACCATCATACGAATTTTGTTGCGCTCTTCATCGCTTAGTACAACTTGTAGTTTCAAATGCAAGTAACCTTCCCCGAGTGGAAACGTATCTTCCCAAACACCTTTCTCTAATATCATTCTGATATATACTCCTGCCAGTTATTTACTGCATCATGTTAGAAACATTTAATCTTTGATCAAATTTGAAAAAATAATTAAACAGTTTTATCAATTGGAATGTTATCAATCAAAGATAACAACAACCTGCACGCGATATTTCATTCCCTTCGGTATCATGAATTTTAAAAATCAAATCATCACGGAGACTAGCTATGGGACTGAAACATGACAACAAACAAATTACATTTATCAATAACTTGTTTACATTAATACATAAATTAAATAAACGCTTCCGTCAAAGATTGAATCACAGACCAACGGTTTACACCTATTTAACTCAACTATCACATATCAGTTTAACTACATAAGACTTCAATATCACAAAACAGACGAAGAGTTTTTGAATTAACTTACAAGGAAAAGTTTCCTTTGTCGCTGATTTGGTACTCAATTTTTCCCATAGAAGCTGCATTAATCAAACATTTAGTTAAAACTTGATAGAAGGGAGAGTAATTAAGGACAAATATCAAAAAGTAAGAACAATTGCATACCTCTTATGGGTGTTGATGAAGAAAATGGAAGATCCATGAATTCAAGTACTGTAAAAAAAAAAGAATAAATAGAAGTAAAAACAAAATCACATGGTTACTAAGTTACATAAACTTTACATACTACATAGAATTTAGTACCAGAAACAAGGATTGTTCCTGGCATTGCAGGGTGCAGAATTCAATCTTAAGATTGGCCAAACAAGAGATGGTGTAACTAAACAGTAACTAATATATGTATGTACTTAACTTTTCTTTAGCATAAAACAGAATTTTTTTTACTATTTTGTTTAAGTGGTGGGAAGAATGGATATGGTTAGATTTTGGATGAAACCTGCTAGTGTGTGGTCCTTTCATTTATTGGCCATAAAAGCTTGATTGGAATTATTCTTTTGTCTCATTTGTCAATTGTAGTGACTTGTCCCATAGTAACATGCATACAACTAGATGTGAGTACGTATTGGTGGTGGTAAATTTGAAGTACAATACAATTATTGCTGAAACTGTTAAATTTATCACTAAATAATAAAGGTGGTTTATTAACGTTAGGACTTAAGGACAGATCAAATACTGATTTAATCCTACCATTTTAAAATGAATGTTGGTTAAAGTACAGATTAAATAATAATGTTATAAGACATTGCATTTTTGTTATATTAATTTTATAAATATGTTGAAAATAGTGTAGAGAATAATAATTAAATGATATAGTTAGAAAAATAACAATTATTTTTAAATTGAAAAAGGAGAATGGTATTTTTTTTTAAAAATAAATTTTATTTACTAAAATAACATTCATTTTAAAACGGTGGAAATATTTAAATAAATTTTATTTGTTAAAATAACATTTATTTTAAAACGGAAAGAATATCCACTACAAGAAAATGCTTGTCCAGCCACGTGAAGTTGCCACGTGATTTTCATGTGGCTAAATAAAACCTGTTGCGACGTGAAAATCACGTGGCAACGTGTTTTAATAATATAATACAGAAGCATTAAGTGTGTCAGTTAGTTTTTTGTGTAAAAAAAAGTTGCGACGTGGGATTCACGTCGCTAATTAAAATGTAACAAAAATTAATTAAATCACAACTTCCAACACTGACGTGTTCAGGTTTTGAAGGAAGAGAAAACATTTGTAAGTTTGTTGCGACGTGAAAATCACGTGGCAACGTTGCAGCGTGATTTTCACGTCGCTACTTGGTTTATGTAACTTCTCAAAACGTTCTACAACGTTTCTGTTTCTCATTTCTTCTTCTTCAACGTTCCCTACCCTCTCCATACCCATTTTTCTTCACCAAAAAATTATCTTTTCCACACTAAAATTCCTACCATCTTCATACATTTTGTAAGGTAATTTCAATTTCATGTTTTATATACTTTGTTAATAGCTTTTGATGTGTTATTTGAGTATAATTTTTTTTCAATTTTTCTTTGAATAGAGAAGGAGAATATAGAAGTATAGATTGCAAAAAGGGACAAGAAGATTGAAGGAGTTACAAGATAAAAGGTATGTCTTGAATTTTTTTTTTGAAATTAGTATATTTTCTAAATTTGATTAATTTGCATTGGGTTAAAATTGTTGAATTTGGGTTATATATATATATATTTTCTGTATTTGAGTTAAATATGTTAGGTTTAATTATTTAGTTTATAATAATTATTAATTATTAATTTGTGATGAATGAGTTTAATTATTTTAGGAGTTTAAGTTTTTTTATTTTTAGGAGTTTATAAATTTTTAGTGTTTAAATTAAATTTTTAGGAGTTTAATAAGTTTTTAAATTTTTAGGAGTTTATAAAAGTTAGGTGTTTAAATTAAATTTTAAGTGTTTAAAAATAAATAAATATTTTTAGGAATTTATAAATTTTAATTGTTTAAATTAAATTTTTAGGAGTTTAATAAGTTTTTAAATTTTTAGGAGTTTATAAAATTTAGGTGTTTAAATTAAATTTTAAGTGTTTAAAAATATTTTTAGGAGTTTATAAATATTGTTGAAAGCATATATTTATCTTTAATTGTATATGTTTAGGATTATTATTAAGTTGATTAATTAATATTTCTAATTAAATAGGTTTTGATTATATAAATTTGCAGTAAATGGAATATTATATGTATTATCGTAGTTGGATGTACGATAGACTATATCCAGGAAGACGCACACTTAAACCCAATTTTATAGACGGAGTTAATGGTTTTATCGCATGGACGTTTGCCCAGGAACGTTGTCGAAGTGAATGCGGAGTTAGGTGTCCTTGTCTTAAATGTGGATGTAGATATATAATTAGTGACCCAGAGGAAATAACACGTCATTTGCATAGGAAAGGTTTCATTGAAAATTATTGGGTTTGGACGCATCATGGTGAAACATTGTCGAGTAATGTACCAGAGACTAGCAACACAGATGCTTCAAGTAGTCAACCGGTTATGCAACCACCTATGGAATTTGAAGAAAACTTTAATCTGATAGGTGACATGGTTGATGATGCTTTTGGTGTTAACGTGACCTATGATCAATCTGAAGACTTTGACGGGGAAGAGTTTCCGAATGAGGAAGCGCAAAGATTTTATCAGTTGTTGAATGAGATGAATACGCCGTTGTTTGAGGGGTCGTCAGACTCAAAGCTATCAATGTGTGTTAGATTATTGGCCGTCAAGTCAAATTGGAATGTTCCTGATCAGTGTTTGGAGCACTTCGCAAAAATGATGTTGGACTCAACTGCAACGAAAGACAACTTGCCTGCGAGTTTCTATGATGCAAAGAAGTTGGTGTCGAAGTTGGGTTTAAGAGTAAGAAAGATTGATTGTTGCATTAATGGTTGTATGTTGTTTTATGACAACGAGTTTGGTACTCAAGATGGATCGTTAGAGGAATGTAAATTTTGTCATAGTCCAAGATATAAAGTTCGCAATAGAGCCATTAACAGTAACCAAAAATGGGTAGCAGTAAAGTCCATGTTTTATCTTCCGATAATACCAAGGTTAAAAAGAATGTTTTCTTCAATGCACAGTGCAAGTCAAATGACATGGCATCATACAAACAAAACAAGCCCAGGCAATATGCGACACCCATCTGACGGCCATGCATGGAAGCACTTTGATGAGGTACATCCTGATTTTTCCGCCGAACCTAGAAATGTCAGGCTTGGATTATGCTCTGATGGTTTTGCTCCATATGTCCAAGCGTCCGGAAGTGCGTATTCTTGTTGGCCAGTTATTGTAACCCCTTACAATCTCCCTCCTGAGATCTGCATGACAAAACCATACATGTTTTTGTCGTGCGTCATTCCAGGAACGTCGAGTCCAAAAACCGGAATTGATGTGTACTTACAACCTTTAATTGATGATTTGAAGAGGTTGTGGAATAATGGAGATTGGACTTATGATATATCCCGTAAACAAAACTTTTCTATGCGAGCTGCCTTGATGTGGACCATTAACGACTTTCCAGCATATGGCATGTTGTCTGGTTAGGGTACGCATGGCAGAATGGGTTGTCCGCATTGCATGGAATGCACTAAGGCGTTTACATTGGAAAAAGGGGGGAAAAGCTCGTGGTTTGACTGTCACCGCAGATTCCTACCATCAAATCATCCCTTTAGAAAAAACAAGACAAATTTCAAAAAGGACGAACGGGTACAGATCTGCCTCCGTCTCGACTGGCACCAGCTGCTATATGGAACCAAGTTTGTGAACTTCCAAAGTTTACAGATACTAGCAAAGCATGTAGAATTGAAAGATATGGGGTCACACATAATTGGACAAAAAGAAGTATATTTTGGGACCTCCCGTATTGGAAAGATAATTTGTTGCGCCATAATCTTGATGTTATGCATATTGAGAAGAATTTTTTTGATAACGTATTTAACACAGTAATGGATGTTAAAGACAGAACAAAAGATAATGTGAAGGCTAGACAAGACATGGAAATTTGGTGTAATCGTAAAGAGTTGGAATTGAAGCGTCAACCAAATGGAAAATTATTTAAACCCAAAGCTTGTTTCAGTCTGACCCCCCAAGAAGCTAAAGCGGTTTGTGGATGGCTAAAAGGTTTGAGAATGCCCGACGGGTATTCTTCAAATTTAGCAAGGTGTGCTGATGCTAACACTGGGAAGTTGCATGGTATGAAAAGTCATGATTGCCATGTTTTTATGGAACAATTGCTACCAATTGCATTCGGTTCTCTACCCAAACATGTGCTTAATCCACTCACTGAAATTAGTCAATTTTTTAGAGATATTTGTGCTTCAGCTTTAAGAGTGGATGACATCATTAAGTTGGACCAAAATATTCCAGTCATTCTCTGTAAGTTGGAACAAGTATTTCCTCCTGGTTTTTTTGACTCCATGGAACATCTACCTGTGCATCTTGCATATGAGGCTTATCTAGGAGGACCTGTTCAATATAGGTGAATGTATCCGTTTGAAAGGTTCATGGGTGATTCAAAGTGATCAGTGAAAAATAAAGCTAGAGTTGAAGGATCAATATGTGCACATTACTTGCATCGAGAAACTTCACATTTTTGTAGTCACTATTTCAAGCACTTGATGTTAACTCCAAGAATCATAAGGAATCCTGTAAATGTTATCGAAAGAAGTCAGTACACCTTATCAGTCTTTGGGATTCCAGGTCGTCCCTCTGGAAAGAAGGGTGAGCATTGGTTGACCCAACAAGAAATGCAATCTGCACATGTTCATGTCTTGATCAACTGCATTGAAGTTAAACCATATCTTGAGTAAGTATAATCCAACTTCTTAATTTTCTTTACAGTGTGAATATATAAAATTGATTACCTTGAAACTTATAGTGTGTTTCTTTTTAGGGAATTTAATAACGCCTACTTTGAAAGTACCGGTGTACAATCAACATCTGGTGTCATTCATGCCCAATTTCCAACATGGTTCAAGGAGAAATTGTATAGGGTTGTTGCACCGACTCCAGAAATACTCCATTTGAGAAACTTGTCTAATGACCCTCGTCAAAGTGCAAACAAATGGCACACATACTTCGCGAACGAATATAAATTTCACACTCATGAATGGACTGAAGGGAAAAACACCATAAACAGTGGCGTATTTGTGAAAGGAGTTACAGATGGTGGTGAAGATGACTTCTATGGTTTTGTTAAACATATCTACGAGTTAGTATACAATTACTTGGACTCGGAA